ATGATTGGTATGTATATTATATATATTATATTATATTATATTATATTATATTTGTTTATTCATTGAAATTAACTGTAATTTTTATTGATTTTATTTTATTTTAAAATATATACATTTAAAGTCTATTTTTAAAGATGGATATTACATTAAATGGTACATTACCTATTAGAATTCTTGATACAAAATTAGTATCTTCCAAAGTTTATGGTGTAATAGATGATCCAGCTTTGGAATCTTCTTCTATGGTAAACAAACCAATTTTTTATACTCTCAATATTTCATAGAATATTTTCCTGATTATAGGCAAATAATTAATTATTATAAATCAACAGATATTATTTTCGAAACAACATGCATCATTTGTCTACAAATTAATGAGATCACAAGGCAAGTCAATTAATTAATGTCTTTTAACAACATGATTTTATTTTATTTTATTTTTTTAATTATTAATTGCTATTATTATTATTATTAAAAAAGAGTTTGATCATAAAGAACACACAAAAACCGCAAGTACACAGGTTCATTTTGTTGTCACTTATAAATCACTTCAAGATGGTAAAAATGAGTTTTTATTTTTACAATAATTATTAGTATTCAAATTAATTTCATTCATTAATCAAAACTTTTTTTTTGGTTTTATTTTATAGAGATTGAGAAATATGCTGAATATATTTTAAATAAAATTTTAAAATCTAAGGATTTATTACAACATTCTCGATTTGTTATTGATAATGCTAAAAATTTATTATTAAAATATATTGATTTTGTTTCATATGGAATGACAGATTCTTTAGATTTGGTTGATTTGGATATTGAATTATGTGAAAAAATATTTAGTAACCATGGAAATAATAAAGAGGATTTAATTGACGTTATTAAAGAATTTTGGATGGTATATATATAAATTTAAAAAATAACTTTTCTTCTATTATTAAAGATTTTTATTTATTTTTAAAACAGACTTGCAATCAAACAAATTATGAAGAAGTTTTTGAAATAACAAAAGATTTAAAATCTTCAATATCATTTCCAGTCAATGTACCATCATCAAAGGTAGAGCTTGTTAATTTTGGTTTAAAACAAAAGGATTGATGATATTTTAAAAAATATATAATAGATATATAAATCATTATTTAAAAATTTTTTTAGGTCCTCAATACAGTTGAATTAATTATATCTAAATCACATGATTTGCTAGTTGGTGAACCATGTCATTGTCGATTGATAGTTAAACATTCATCATATTGGAATTATGCTTCATCAACTGACCATAAAGACAGTCTTGAATTTTTTTATGATGTTAATATTGATTTTGATAATTGGTTACTTGCTGGTCAAAAAAAGTTATGTTTTACATCAAAGGTAATATAATAATAATAATAATAATAATAATAATAATAATAATAACAACAACAAGGGACAAATATATTAATTAAAAAAATTATTACTAATAATTTAATATAAGGTTGGAGAAACAAAAGAGTTTCCAATCACACTGGTACCTTTGAAAACAGGAAATCTTCTTGTTCCTCTTATTAGAATAGCAAGTCTTTCATCTAATATTTTTTCTGAAACAGTTTATCTTAATAATGCTGAACAAGTACTTGTTCGACCCAGAACACAATCTGCAACATTTTTTATTGAACAACAACACCGTATTCATTCTATTCATTCAACAGGTGGATTTAGTGGTCCAGGTCATCATCATAATGAAGGATTGGTAGATGTTGAAATTGATTAAAAATAAGCAATTGCAAATTTTTAATTAATTAGTTTAAATTATTTTTTCATAACAATGTTTATTTATTTATTATAATTATAACTATTATTATTATTAAATGACACTTTTTATTGCCATAGAACTAACTATAATATTGAGCATTTCATTGTAATCATACTAAAAAATATTATAAAGGAATGTTTAATTTAATAAAATATATTTATAAGTTTTAATGATAAGTTTTTTTACCTTTTTAATGTAACTAAAATCTGTAAATTTAGAAATCTCTTCTAATGAAGATTATTCTCCATCAATTAATTTTGACAAGTGAGATTTTACCTAATGAAGCAATTTACATAATTAATTACAATTATTTACTAATATTACTATTAATTATTAGAAATTGAATAATTTTATTAAATCTTTGTTTGTGTAAATAAGTATGCATGTGCATTATCTGGCTTTAATTAATATTGTATCAGATGAACCTGAGATCCCAATCTTTTTAATGATTCACTTATCTAATTAATATAAATATATATAAATTTGTAGTTGGAGAAAGATTATAAACGATTTCTGAATGAACATTATGAGTTTTTAATAATCCAAGATTTTCATAATGGACAGTATCATTTATCGCTATTAATAATTGAAATTTATCAAGTACCTTAAAAACTATATAAGTTTCGTACATATTGTAAATACCATATACATATATAAATTAAATAAAGTAAAAAAAAACGATTGTGATTAAGTTTTTACCACTCTAGCATCAACAAAACATAACTTAATTCTGAATCATCTTTTTTTTAATTCTGTTGAATTTTTGACATTTATGAATAATGAAATATGACTTAAGCCAGCATAGTGGACATTTGATTTCATTGGCTAAATTATGTT